GTTTCTTTCAGAGAGACTAAGGAATTGTTTTCTGTTGTCCTTTTATCTACTCGCCTCAAATCTCCTGTATCTAACCCTCCTCCCCATTGGCTCTGCATACTTCCTGCTGAAGGGAGGGTTTTTTTCTCAGGCGGAAGTTATGCCACTTGGATACCATAATGCCCTTTGTGAGGGGTTCGGGGAAAAGAAAAAGAGTAGGGGTTTGGTTGTGATGTTCTCAAAGATAACACGACGAAACAAAAAGAACACTTCTATAGATGAGAAAATCTTCCTCCTCTGAGTCTGATTCTTGGTACATCAGGTCATCTGAATGTGAACAGTGGACTTAGACACCATGAGAGGGATGTCAGCCCCTTCGCTGGAGTGGAATCACGGAAGCTCACAATAGGAGTATCTGTGTTCTTGTCTTCGGTGCTCTTTAGTGCTACCACTTTTCAACGGATTCTTCAGCGTTCTGATTATTAGCACTTTCTTGGGAAAGGGGAGCTTGACCTCTTTTGGGGTAGTCAACTGCAAAGTTCCACCTGCAGATGTATTTATCAACATTATAGTAGTTACATAATCTGCTGTCAATTTGAGACTTAAGAGTAAATGGGTGGAGTTTAGCTAGTCAATATCAATTTGAGACTTAAGAGTGAAAGGGTGGAGTTTAGCTAGTCAATCACGTCATGGTTTGATGACCTCATTTGGAGGCGCAAAGCAGATAAATAGCTCACTGGAGGTGGGACACACGCTCACTCCCTGCGACACATTCCTGTTGAGAAGACACATGGAGCTACACTAGACTAGAGCCCTGGAGCTGAAGGAGCCATGTGGAGACCCCTGCCAGTGCTGGGATGCTTCCACTGACACTGGATCCACAAGACTTTCCACCCACTGGCCTGTGATCTTCCTGCACTCAGTGTCATTGCATGTGTTTGCATGAATCTTAAGAGGAATTTACAGACTGGTACTGACCATATGGGCTAATATTGAACTTATGGACTTCATCTGGACTGAGCTGGGATGATTTCTCACTATTCAATTGCTCTTGTATATAAAGCTCTTTCTTATACACATATGAATATCTCTACCCAGACTAACACAAACATTAATACAGAATTACAGGTATGCCCATTTTTTATAGACGCATGCAGATAAGTTTTTCAGCAATGGCAGAAGCTCCAAAAGTCACAAGTATTGCCACACAACATCAGCAGAGCAGGAATAAGCTGAAACTATTTAGAGCAGTTTCGAAAATCCACACTAAGTAATTAAAGTAGCAAATGGTACTTTTTTTTTTTTTTTTCAATTTCTTCATCATTAGCTTTAGTGGTTGGAATTGGAAGACTCGCCATAGTAAATCCATCCATTTACCCCAATTTGATACAAAAGAAATCACAATTTCTGCCATACTCCAGTAAGACTTTTTGTAAATACAGACAATACAATTCTAAAACATATGTATGGCAAAAGAATTATAACAGCTACAATGATTTTGAAAAAGAAGACTGAATTGGGAAGAATCAATACATAAGCTAATGGAATAGAACAAAATTCATTGCCACTGAGTGCAATGGTACTATTTTTAAAACTGGAATGTTGTTTCTAAAATGCCTTTCTTTGAACAAACATTTGTTCAGTTGGGTACAGTATGAAAAACAGCACTTAGCGGTCAACATTTCTGATGTGCTAGATATTAAATATCAATTTTAGTTTGGACATAGAAGTGCTGGTGTATAATGTAATTTGGACGTTTTTTATAGATTAGTAAAACATGTCAAGTGATAGACTTCATATTATATTAGTATAAGTTGTGCTAAATCAATTATTTATGCTTGAAAGCAAACATTCACAAATAATCATTTATTATGGAAAAGGCATAAATGGGTTGATTGTGAGATTATTGTGTTATTAAATCTCAGTCTAGGAATAATCTAGTTAGAGATGATTTTTCTTAAATCTAATCACCACCATCCACTTAATAACAGAAGCCGCATTCAATTTATTTCAACATTTAACAGATTTCAATGATGATTGAAAAGTATTAATATATAGCACGCCAAGAGCCGCCTAACCAATATTACATACAGCTGCCAGAACTTCCCACCTCTCATCTGTCTTTCTTCAGAATGTTACACCAATTACCTAAGAAAGGACACACGTTCTTTTAGGTGACAACATTCTTCTACTTAAAACTTCAAACAGAGGAGAAAATTCAAAATTCTTCCTGCCACACAGTTAAAAATCCATCTTTCTGGCAATTTCTGCCCCTTCCATTCCGGCTCTAGATGCTCACGATGGATGCCTCATGCTTTCTTGCCTCTGCAATTGCCTTCCACTCTCCATTTCTCCATCTGTTACGCTACTACTCATCTTTCAACATGTAACTCGAACCATTTCTCACATTAGCAATAATATACTCTTTTTTTTAATAATATACCTTTCACAAATGAATTTGATCTTTCAATAATGAAAAGTCATTATTGCACTCAATTATAATCTCTAGGACCAGCTTAAAACACCAAGAAAGAAAGGTGTGTGTGTGTGTGTGTGTGTGTGTGTGTGTGTGTGTGTGTTCTATGACTACGGAAAAAGGAGTCCTGGAGGTGCAAGGTTGGTGGATGAACCCCAGCAACTGTTGTTCATGAGAAAGATGAAGCTTTTCTGCCCTGATAAAAAGTTTAGTCTTGGAAACTATATAGAGGGTCGCTATGAGCCTAAATTGATGCTCCAGCACAGCGGTTCTCAACCTTCCTAATGCCGCGACCCTTTAATATAGTTCCTCATGCTGTGGTGACCCCAACCAGTAAATTATTTTCATTGCTACTTCATAAGTGTAATTTTGCTATTGTTATGAATCGAGTGACCCCTGTGAAAGGGTCGTTTGACCCAGAAAGGGGTCGCGACTCACAGGTTGAGAACTGCTGCTCTAGCAGTATGTGGTTAACTCATGAAGGTATGAAAACTATTGGTTTGATTAAATTATTTGTCATACATAGGTGAAAACTCAATGGATCTACCATAGATTTAACCTCTATATTCAATTTCATAAATGCTTACTATCTTAGATACAGTCTTGCTCTTAACAAGGTAGACCCCAAAGCCATTCTACTACATAAACATGTAAAAGGTGGTAAGGGGCATTTTTCTTCTTGTTCCAAAACTGTGGCTAAGGCTTAAAGCTGAGGATAATTAAGCACTCTTGCTCCTACCTTCAAAGAGCCAATGGTAGCCGGTGCTACTGGGATTTCACTACACTATAGTATCACAATCCATGCAGCCTTTCCCCCCAGGGATTACTGAGAGGCTCCAGCTTAATGAACCAGCCTTATCATCAATATTGTAACACTCTCCTTCAGTGTGAAACAAAGCTGAGAAGGAATAAGGTAGGTATGAAAAAGAGACTATTCCCTCCCTTCTTTAGGGAATAAGTACTAATAAGTACTAATTCAAATCAAATAAGTACTAATAAATACTAATCCAATCAAGGTTGACATCAACTGAAAGGGAGACTGGAATTTCACTTTCCTTGTTTTGGCAAAAGCATTACTGATTTGCCCCTTGGTTACATATGGAGAAAAGAGAAATGAGGCGAGGACATGATGAAACATGGCCTCTCCTTGAGTTTTTGGATCCCAAGAAGTATTAAAAAAAAAAAGAAAACTTCCCTTCAGAGTACCTGTGGGTCCAGGAGTTGGGAGGTAGATTTTGATTGGGTAAAGTTTTGAGATGAAAAATGTCAGTCACATGGTGTGAATGCCACCCATCAGAGTCTACCCAAAGATGTCACCAAATCTTTCAAGGAGATATCGATGCCTATGGAAACGGAATAGGGTTGATCTCATCGTAAGCAGGGCAAGCTGGAGCTATATCACCTGACAATGAGGCAGAAGAACCGTGTAGAACAAAGCTTAAGAGGACTGCCACCTCAACCCTGGGATAGCATGCATAACTCGGCCTCCCCGATTACTCTGCTGGGTCTCAACAGCAGAAGGGGGAAAGGCACAAAGAGGAGAGGACACATATGTACTAACAGAACTTACCCATTCCTCTCAAAGCACCAGCCCCACTAAAGTCATGTGCCTGGAGTAGGGTCTAGACTGTGACTGAAGTTACAATATGAAGAAGACTCCGTCTTCAATAGTGCAATGAGATGAGAGTCTTTGAAAAGTATGGACGAGTGACAAGATGATACTGAAATCATTGTCATCCAGAAGGAAAGGGGAGTTTGACATGGCAGAGTTGGGAGGTAGTTACTGGACAAAAAACCCAAAACTACGCTGTATTTATACCCAAATGAGGGTCCTCAAGGAACTTCTTACTCAGAGATGGATAGTCTCTGAAACCCATTTCTGCATAAATGAGTTTTCTTAGACTTCCAGCTCTCCATTTTTTAATAATCAATGAAATAAGTATAATAAGTTCTACTATACTGCAATATTTAAGGCGAGAACAAGTCTATTAACTTGCTCCCTCCTATTTGCTGTTCTACCTCGATACATGCTGAGTAAATAAGAGTAAAAGCCATATTTCTGTCTGGGAAGATGCCATCAAAGTCACAGATATGAATGAACAAGTAAGCATTAATAGTTAAGGGGAATATCTTAAATGGATATAGGTGTTTCAAATAATAGAGTAGGGAAGATTCATGGGAACAAAGCTCTTAGAGTAGAAGTTAATTTGGTATCAGAATGCACTCAACTTATTTTAATGATTCAACAAAGAAATCCACAGAGAGAATGCATTTTTCCTATGTAATAAGTCAGTATTTTAAGTGGTCTACCTGACAAAGAGGAGAAACCAGTATACTACAAATAGATGCTGTTCAATTGCATGACACAGATGAAGGAAAAGAGTAAGAGAAAAGGAATTGGAGGCTGGCCAAGAAGTAGCACCTCAACTGGGGTTGTACATGGAGGATGGACAGGCATGAATGACAGACAGGGAAGAACAACTCCTGGATGAATGAGAGACAATAATGTAAAGTGGCTGTGACACATTGCAATATTAATACATACCGAGACTGAATTGCGGGTAATGCTCATAAATCTAACTGCAATTAGTACAGGTTTCTGGATTAGGAAGGACATGAAAAGGAAAGCAGAGGGTTAGAATGCACGTCATTGTCCCATTCACAGAGAAGGCTTAATCTTTCAATGGACTGAATAGATCCATCTTCTGCAGCATTGTCGAAAAAGCACAAGCTGTCATCTGCTTTGAAAAGTTCTGTTGTAGTAGGAGGCCACTTCCTTTGCTCCCTTCCCTTCCTCCCTACCAAAATGGGCCTCTCAGTACTGAGCTCAGGAACATTCATGCTACCAAAAGAGTTTCACTTTTAAATGGGGTTTTTGTTTCTGGGGAAAAGATTCCAATAGTATCCCATGATGAATTTTTTTCAGTACCCTTACTGCCTGGGAAAAATGTATGTTTGTATTAGCTTTTAGAGAAGACCCTTCACTTAAGTTATCAACAAACCTTTGTAAGCATTTGTTCTGTGCCAGGCAATTTAAAATGTAAAGGAAGAAACGGAGCCATTTTTATGTTGGTCAAGCATAAGCTATAAAGGCTGCTGGGACTCTGGAGAGGTCTGGGCAGAATGACCGGGAAGACTGCTTCTCGTAGAGATTTCTGGGGACCCTGAGTGGGTGTCCATCACTGTAATTTTACTTTACTGGGGAGAATGGCAGGGATCAAATGAACAACAATCAAAGTTTAATGCAGCACCAGTTCTCCAGTAATCCAGCCCCTATTGAACACTGGTCCATGAGAACCAGGATTATTGATATTTAGGTCACTATTTACAAAGGGAGGAATTAGACAGAAAAGTGGGCAAATGGAGGAAATAAATTATCAAAATAATCATCCATAAAAGAATCTTTGTTTTTATAATGGTAGACTCATACACGAAATTCCACGTCCTTCTGAACCACACTCTTACAAATGACGACTTTTCTATATTCCAGGAGTACCCAAAAAGGACATGGGTAAAGTTGGAATAGATGGTGGAAGGAAACGGAAAAAAAGTTAGGATAGGTTTGTTTTCCTGGGAAGAGCAGGAAAAGAAAATAGGGCAGATTATGAAGCCACCAATGTTTCATAAAAAATCTGATTTTAAAAGTTCTAGACTTTTAATTGTACACAAAACTAGAGACCTAAAAGATCAAGCATGAGGGAATCATAATGCCTTGGGATTTGGTGATTCTTTTTACTTGTTCCCCATGAAAAGATCCTGAAATAAATCCCTCTGTATACCACAAACACATACTTAAAACCCCAGGAGCCCGCCCCCCGCCGGTCTGATTGCATGTCCTGCATCTTACCATTGATCTCCGAATCAGGGACAACCTGGTCTTTGCCTTAGTCTCAGCAAATTCCAGGCTACTGATATCTTTGAGGCGAGCCTTGTATTTATTCATCTGTTCGACAACAATCAGCTCCACACAACTGAAGAAGAGAAAAGGAGAAAACTGGTAAGGGGGGAAGGAAAACAAGTAAAACGTAGCACCTACAGACAGACTATTTTTCAGCTCATTGTGGTAATAAGGTTGGGAAGAGAGAAACAAACAAAAAAATTCTTTCTTTCATGAGCTCAGAGACAGCTTGTAGCATGATAGGTCACAATTTTAGTATTGAAATACTAAACCAAGGGATTCAGAACTGTGAGACCAAATTTTAAGAAGATATGAAGTACATCATTGGATAAAAATAGAAGTTAATTTTTTTTAAGAAACTATAGGCAGTCTTAAGCAAGCACCACATTAAAAAACCAAGTTCCTTCAAAATTAATTATACTCAAATTGAATAGAATTTAAAGGATTTTTTCATCTCCAGTATATGAAAGTCTAACAGTTTCTGGATTTTCATACATCCCTATCTTCTTTAAAACATCTGAATTTAAGAAATCACTCATTCTGACTAGACCAGAGGATGTACACTGGTATAGACAGGAATTGGAACCACAGGGAGTCAAGGGCGGATGATCTCTTCTGGACCAGTGGTGAGAGTGGCAATACCAGGAGGGTGGAGGGAAGGTGGGTTGGAAAGGGGGAACCGATTACAGGGATCTACATATAACCTCCTCCCTGGGGGATGGACAACAGAAAGTGGGTGAAGGGAGACATCAGACAGTGCAAGATATGACAAAATAATAATTTATAAATTATCAAGGGTTCATGAGGGAGGGGGAAAATGAGGCGCTGATACCAGAGGCTTAAGTGGAGAGCAAATGTTTTGAGAATGATGAGGGCAATTAATGTACAAATGTGCTTTACACAATTGATGTTTGCATGGATTGTGATAAGAATTGCATGAGCCCCTAATAAAATGATTTAAAGAAAAAAAAAATCAGGCATTATGTTTGAAATCTGGATGAATTGACTACATTGACCCTGCCCAAAGCCCCAGAGGTCTTCCAGAGAAGATGGGACTGTCCTTACGTGGTCGTCTTACTGATGTCCTGCACACTTTGTAGTGGGTCGGTGGTGTCAGGGCAGCGGAGAATGCAGGGCGCAAACACAATGGCCAAAGCATTAGCAGACATTCGATTAGTGTCTTCCTGCAGAGCAATCCTGAGGAAGGGAGGAAAAAAACAGTGAAAAGAGGAGAATAGCCTGGAGGTAGGCAGAAGAGATGAAAGACAGACATTCTGAAGGCAGCAATCTCAAGGTACAGGCAGGATAGCCACATCAGTGTAAGGGGGACACTCTATTTTCCCCAAATTGTTTCTCTGCCTCTGGACAATGCTCTATCACTTGGTTCCTTCTCCAAAGTAATCTAGGTCAGCCGACAGTGTATCGAGGGAAATTCATTACCTACTGCTCAAGGACTACACCACCCATCCAAAATCTCTGAGGACTCAAACATAGAGGCTTTCTTATACACACATGAATGTCTGTGAATTTGTTTCTCTAGTCAACCCAGACTAACACAGAGGCTTTTAGATAGTAACAAAAAGAAGGATTGCTTTTTTGCCAATAACATCTGATATTTACACTCACGGAAAGAAAGACCACGCCTGAAGGCCCTTTGGTCAAACTATTTCTGAGCACCATGAACCTACCACCCATGAATTAGGTTTTATCAACAAAAATGTGATCCTTTCTAGTTGAGGAATTTAATAATAAGCGAGGCTACTGAGTCACCAGGAGGAGAAGGTTGTTACACAGCTAAACTAGGGCATGGAGCTCACCTAGCTGAGGGTTTGCACTCCTAATCACCTGTTTGGTAGGAGAGAGGTTGCCTTTATAGACAGCAAGAAGAGCTGCCAGTTTCCCAAATGGAGGCGCTCTCCTCATACTTGCAGAAGTCCAAGAGACATTATCCAACCTTCCCTGGCTTCTAGAAGTTACCTGACTAGATGAAAGATGAGGCGTTCCAGTGTATTGAGATGAGTTCTAGAGAGCTGGTCAATCACAGAGTATACACCACGGATTGTCTCCTTCCTCTCCTGAAGGCCTAAAAACATTCAGAACAGCACCTTAGATTTCTTTTATGTTACATCATCCTGAACAGATTCTATGTTGCAGAAGAGGCTGGAACCAGAATGTTAGTACTGAAAGCACTTGGGAAAGAAAATTGTATTTCTTTTTGAAAAGACTATGCAGAGATGACAAAAGAAGACTACAGACAATCTTCTGAAGCAATTCCAGAAGCATCAGGAATCTGATTGACCTGGTAAATTACTTCAAGAGGCAATGGGAAGTCTGGAGTGACACGAGTCTGGGAACCACAGGAAGACAGTTGCCAAAACTACAGCTAGAACTAAGGTCAGGCAAAGCAGATAACTGGCATTCAGGACTGAAATGGAAATTCCACACATCTGAAGCAAGCATGCCTAACTATCTGTAGGAGTTATTCCTTCAAGTAATGTGTCCTTTAAGATGATTCAGAGGGAACAAATAGAAATACATTTGAGATCTCCATCACTGAGGCAGCAGTTACCAAAATGGTACTCAGTGAAAACGGACCTGCATATTAAGAATTACAACATTTAATTTTGTTGAATGAAAAAGGAACGCTGTAATAGGATGTATGGAAAATGGGTATGATCTTCCATGGACTCTGAAGAAAACTGGAGGCTTAGAATTTGTCCGTTTCCCTCCCTCACCCTTTCAGAGAGAGGGAGTGGTATATGGATGGCAGAGGAAGAGCAACTGACAGTTGCCACTCAAATCCCTCTGCTTGAAGAGTACATTCACTAAGCACGTTTCAATCTACTTCCCAAAAATCTTGGCTACAGGGATGGGATAGAAAGCTCAAGGTTTTTTAGCCATTTTGTGGCAGACTGATTCATTATTATAATGAACCAATGTTATTGTAGTCAGTCCCCTGGGAATTTGTACTCGTCCCTTGGGATTTAAGCACCTCTGGGCAGACTTTCTTCAATATTCTACATACCCACAGAACTAAGAAACCACACTTCAAAACCTTCTAGACTTGGGAGTAAAATAGGCAGTCAAACTGTTATAGCGTTCTTGCCTAAATTTGCGATGTAAATGAACATAAACCAATCCTTAAATCTTCTACTTAATTTTTTAATCTACCGTACATACTCAAGTATAAGTCGACCCAAATATCAGCCAAAGCACTTACTTTACCACAAAAACTGCATTAAAAATGTGCTGAAAAACTCGGCTAATACTCGAGTATACTCAGTATTTCATAACCCAATTCCTTCCATCTCTTGCATTGTGAGAAGCAAGTAAGGGGCTTATTCACAAAAAAACCGTTCAGGACACGGACAGTTTACTTAGTCTCTCGAGAGTCAACAGGTGAATATGACAGTCAGTATACACTGGTAGTTTTGCACTGACTGTCAAAAACTTAACTTGGTACATAACATAGATTAAAGCACATTAAGGGATGGTTTAATAATGTATCCTGAAGATGGTATTCCTTTTCTAACGTGTGAGAGTAAGGTTTTTTGGTGCCAACATGTCTTCCGTAAGAACATGTGGGCAGTGTTTAGCCTGTCAGTCAGGTCACAGCTTGATTGGAGAGCAACTGAGCTAAATGGCTTGCTGGAGCCATGCCACTCTTTCTCTGCTTTCACCTTCCTGTTGGCAAGCCACATGGAGCAACGCTGAACCTGACAGAGCCCTGGAGACACCATTCCACCACCACTGGATCCACAAGACTCTGCACCCACCGGTCTGTGATCTTCCTGCATTTTAGATCATTGCATGTGGCTACATGAGTCTGAAGAGGGATTTATGGGGACTAGTATCAGAATTATGGGCTGTTATTGGAGTTATGGACTTGATCTGGAGTGGACTGGGATAATTTATTATTATACAATTAGTTTTTGACCTAAAGCTCTTTCGTATACATATTATGAGTGTCCTTGCATTTGTTTCTCTAGTCAACCTGGTCTAACACACCAAGGAAGCCTATGCTTACCCATAGCTCGAAGAAATTCCTCATAGAGTTCAAAGGTCATAAGTGGATTGGGCAAATCACGAAGCCATTGTTTGAAGACACTTGCAATGACATGTATGTTATAGTCATCTAGGTTTACATTCTCAGCATCTATTTAGAGACAAGAATTAGATTATAAAGCCAAAACATGCAAAAAGATTTTAATAATTCATTTAGAATTTTTTTTAATTCATTTAGAATTTATCATCACCAAAAGAATCCTTCATGTTGCTTAAACTGACTACCCCATCTTCCAACAAGCAAATTACAAACTCTGAAGTAGCATTTCTGAAAAAGGAACAGTTGTGCTTATTTACTTTTGTCCAAATCTGTTTTGGAATGATATAGTTGTTTAAAAAGAAAACAAAAACCCCACATGCTTGTATGTTGCAACACAGTTAAGCTACAATAAATGTTTCTAAGTGCTTGCTTTCAAGCTGTGAATCGGTCCATGGAGTGGATGTGTAAGTGACAAAACTTTAGGCGACATATTGATGAGTGGAAAAGAGGCCCAGAGAACATATCTCAAAAGTAAGGCCAATCTTATGTCATTCTTGGAGCTGAAACGGCAGTGTTAACTGCGTTTAACAGATATAAAGGAAACACCTTTATCCTACTTTATGTATAGATTAGAGGATCAAAAAACAAAGGTAAGCGATTTCCACTTGTGTTTCAACCAAAGAGACAAAATCGGCAGTTGACTTTAACTCCAGAACAAAGTCTCTGGTAAGCAGAACTTCCTGATTGAGTTTACTAGATATTTTCTGTTATTATTTCCAAATTAATTAATCACTGAATATAATAGAAAGAAAAACTATAATGAGTATGTTCTTGGCCACCCAGACCAACTTTGTACCAAAGGTTGATTCAAAAACTATTTTCCCCCAATTTTGTTAAAGAATAGAAGATGAGAATGAAGTCAACACCTTGGCTATGTTCCGGGATTGAGATTAGAGTTCTACAGAGACACGTGCTCAGTTGATAGTAACAACTTTAAGTAACTACGTCATCAACGTAGAAAGGAAAGACTACACACAGAATAGAGAGCCAGACTTGAAGTCAGAATAATGGGGACCAACAGGCCACTTCTTAGATTATAGTTCTGAAGATCTTAGTGATGATGAGCCTTTGGGCAAGATCCTCTATGATAGGGATGATAATATACCTAATTTGCAGAACTGTTGTGGAACTTATTACAAAATCAGAACTTTCTATCTTCAACAGGTTGCTATTTAATATTGCTAAACCTTCATTTTCTTCTTTGAAAACCAGTGATAGCACATATTTTGCAGGGTTTTTTTTAATGAAATGAGACTTGTCTGAAAATGCCAAGCAATGCCTTACACCAATGATGTGCTCAATGTATGCTTTCGGAACTGATGGTGTAAAGTCAAGGACTCTTTGGAGTCTTTGCAACATGACAAACAAGCCCCGCAGAGAAAGAAGACTGCATTTTTCTGGCTGCAAATAAAAGATCAACATGTGCTGAAAACCTATGTGCATATATATAAATCCTTATTTAAATCTAAGTATTTTGGTCTTGATTTAGAGGTTGTCTGCGTCTGTAAATGTTTAGTCTAAGAAATCCTGCATAGGCTTGTTCTGCGTTGGAATCTACTCGACAGCAGTGAGTTTGTGTTTTCTGTTTTGATCTTACCTGTATCTAGGCCTTGTCGGAGCTCCTTGATTTTGTTAGTTGAACCAGACTTCCGGTAAATGCCTTCTGTATACAATCCATGCATTTCAATGTAGTTTATTAGCTTCTCCACCACTAATGGAACAGTTCGGTCCTCACTGGTCAAACGAGACAGCTCAACTCCAAATTGTCGAGATGACAACTCTGGGTCATACTAAATGGAAGATCACCTTTTTCACTGATAAATACATCCACACATCTTTAAGTATTAGTGGCTAACCATGCTTAACCATTTCTTTGAGAACTCTTTTTTATTTTCTAGAAGTTTATGAACACAGTTATGAATGTTGGGAGAAAAAAGCAGCAGGGTGTGTGTGTGTGTGTGTGTGTGTGTGTGTGTTTAAAGTGACATGTTAGTTTCAACTCTTTCCTGCTGGGAATCAATCAAGCTTCCCCACCAAAAAAACCCAAACTCACTGGTACTAAATCAATGCTGACTCACTGTGATCCCCTGTAGATTTCTAAGACTGTAACTGTTTATGGGAGTAGAAAGCCCACTCTTTCTCCCACAGAGCTGCTGGTGGTTTCAAACTGCTGACCACATGGATCGTGTAACCAACGTGTAACCACTAAACTGAAAATGGAGTCAGCAGCAACTGGCAACAGTATACCTTTTGAGATTCTCTTCCTGTAATGGTGGGATCTGGACATGAAAGGACAATTAGTCTTGGAATAAGAGGATCATATTGAAAAATTTTGCATCCTTACTATAAGAACTTGACTAGCTAATTTCAGATTGGCCACAAAAATACCACCTTACTATCTCAAAGGGTTGTAAAAATTAAGTTACAGTGAATATGTGCAGCATAGTACCCAGTAAAGGATACATGTCTAATATATTTTTAAAAGAAATAAACCATAATAATTCTTCTTGCAGTGATTGAAACATTAGTCAAATTTCTTTTTTTTTCATTTCTTGCTACCACCACAACACATATACACAAATAAGTCATGTTCTTTAAATGAGATCACTTTTCCTAAGGCATTAACTCCACTGCTATAGAGACCCTATAGGACAGAAGAGAACTGCCCCAGAGAGTTTTTAAGGTTATAAGTCTTTACAGAAGCAGGACGGCCCCTAAGTAGGGTCAAACTGCTGACCTTCTAAGCAGTGTACCACTGACCTTCTATCAGCTAACCATTCTAAGCACTGTACCACCAGGGCTTTTTCCATAAGCACAGTGACGAAAGCCAAAGGGGAGAAAAAAAAGAAAATGCTTGAGGGTGTTAACCAGAAACTTTTAAGTAGTTTGACCAATCAACTGGCTTCATTCGATTGAAACCAACACTCTAAAGAATTAAAAATTACACTTCTTAAAATTAATGTAAACATTAATTTTAGTATTTCAACTGAAATTACAAGTTTCACTTTGAGTCTAGAGTGTTTACTAGGCTCTCTCTGGTGGTGGATTGTACCACCTCAATTGTTTCCTCCTCATCAATGTGAAGGTGCGGTAGTGGCACAGTGGGTTGAGTACTGGGTTGTTAAGAGCAGGATGAGACTGGCCGCTTCTGTAAAACGTTAAAGCCTCAGAAATCCTAGGGAGCAGTTCTACTGTGTCCTACAGGGTCAGACAATGAGTCGGAATAACTGGACAGTAATGAGTTTGGTTTGGGCTATTACTGTGAGATTAGAGAAATGGATTTTCTGGTCAGCGTCTTAGTTTTTGCCCTATTTAGCTGAACTTAAACATTTGGAAAATGCCCGGATGAAAAAAGCTACTCTGAGTTTCAAGCTCACTTCTCCTTATATCTGTATTGTGGCTCCTCAAATTTCAGTGGTATTACACTTTATGTTTTTGCCTTTATAGCTCTAGGAGACAGCTAAAAACATCGCTGGCTTCTCTCTATAACACCCAAAGCTGGAAAATTCCCACTAGGACAAAAACATCTCACAGAAGGTAGATACATTGCTGGCTTCTCTCCCTAACAGCCAAAGCTGGAAAATTTCCACTAAGATAAAAACAGCTCACAGATTGTCGATTCCACCCACTTTAATTCTCTTGCCTCTAGGATCTTAGCTCTTAAAGCCCAATTCGCATGGGCAACAATCTGATGCTTACCAACAAGACATTTTGCAGTGGTTCTCTCAGCAAGAGGACTGGTCCGTCACAAGCTATTCCATCTTAGTTGAAAGCACATGGCTCACCTTTTACACCCCGAACCTCATTTCTCTAGGACTTTGCAATGACTTGTCTACTAGTGTGGAACAAATGCAAATTCTATACATGGACTACAAGCAAGAAGCACATCCATTTACCTAATAGTTCAGATCTGCACAGCACTGTCAGTATATAACTAAGAAGCAACCAATTTTCTTGTAATTATACCACTAAAAGCCTGAAAAACTTCAAAACTGATCAATTCCTTTAAGCATAAGGAACCAGAGAGGGCATGGTTTTCAGTTCTGTGTATCCAAACACGTAAAACCATGTTGGTGAAATTTGCTATTTATGTTTTAACTCTGCTCAACTTTAATTATCATCTACCACTTTATATTTTATGTGTGTGCCTGCAAACCATACTGTCATTTGCTTTTCCCTCAAGATATTGATGTGATCAGACCGACTGTCATGAAGCACCCACTAGCCCAGCAAGGAAAGGAGTGTGAAGGGACTGTTATAGTCCCACTGGAAGAAAAATGATACACACCAAACAGAGAAGAAGTAGAGGAAAAACTCTGTAAATTTCACCTGACTTTAGCCTTATTTTTAAACACCCCACCACCACTTCTGAGCACCATGGGTGACTAATTTACAGGCTCGCCCTTTACAGTGGGAAAGGTAGGTGTCACTAGGGTACCTTTGGTCCTCAATGCACTTGGTCTGAGAAGTGGGTAAACAGCTCCCTTAGAGTCACTCTGTGCCTCATCTTGCTTTTCCCCCATTCATTTGATTTTATTCTCAGTGACAACTCTGTGCCTTGTAGCACCAACACCATTTTGTGCAGCAAAACCTATACAGCTGCCATAGAGTACAAGCTAGTCATTCAGACTAGTTATCCATGCAAAAATAAAATTTGAAACCCACTGTATGAGTATATGATTGTCTTTGATCAGGGTAACAAACACGATTTTTGTTAAAATTCAAAGAGAAAACAAAACAAAAACAAAAATCCTACCAGAATTCTTAGGAAGAAAGTAAAGAAAGCAAGAAAACTTTTACCTAGGGAAATTAAGAAGTCTTTAAAATAGTGCTGTTTTTCAACATTCATAAGGGTCAGCAGACAGACCTGGAACTATTCATAGGATATATTTTGTTTTGTTTTCACGTCAAGCTATATAAGATAGTAGGATAAACAATCTCGAGGAGAAAACAAGGGATTGACGATTCTGGGGGGACAGGGAGAGAGGAGGAGGTGGAAGAAAAGGAGGGAGGAGCCAAAAACCCCAGGGAAAAGGGAACTAGATCTAAAATCGATGCTGATGAGGACCTAGAATGCCCGATGGGGTTCCATCGAGTACAATGTAGCCAAGAGGAAGTACAGAAAGGCGAACGAAGGTCGAACATGACAATGAGATAAGAGGAAAGTAAAATGGAGGAAAGAACTAGGAGGCAAAAGACATTTATAGTTGTATAAACATAGGTATGTACATATGTAAATATATTAATATATAACGATAGGGATATAGGTCTATGTTAAGTATTAAGGTAGCAGACGGACATAGGGCCTCTACTCAAGTTCTCCCTCATTGCAAGAACACTGTTCTAATAACTTAGCATTCTGTGATGTTCACCCTCCCGATACAATTGCTGAAGACAAAATGGGTGCATAAGCTAATGTAGTGAAGAAAGCTGATGGTGTCCAGCTATTACATGATATAGCATCTGAGGTCTTAAAGGCCTGAAGTTAAACAACCGGCCATCTAGCAGGGAAGCAACAAAGCCCACATGGAAGAAGCACACAGGTATCAGGCATCAGAAGACCCAAAACAACCATTTTGATGAGAATGAGTCGTTCGGAATGGAGACACAAAGTGCATCTATAGACAATTGGGAAGCCCCTCACAGAAGGGTCACAAGGAAGGGATGAGTCAGCCAGGGTGCAGTATAGCACCAACAAAACACACAACATTCCTCTAGTTCTTTAATGCTCTGTGCCTACCCCCCCACTACTATCATGGCCCAATTCTACCTTACAAATCTGGCTAAACCAAAGCAGTTAAGAGCTCTGGACACACAGAAGTCAGGACAGATAAACCCCTCAAGACCAATAATGAGAGAAGCAATACCATGAGGGTAGGGGGAAGGTTGGGAGAGAAAGGGGAGAAAGTGGGAATCGATTGCAATGGTCAACGTACAACCCCACCCCCACCCCTGGGACAAACAACAGAAACGTGGTTGAAGAGACAGGGGAGAGTGTAAAATATGAAAATAAATATAATTTATAAATTATCAAGGGGAGGGGAGGGAAGGGAAAAAAAGGAGCTGATACTAAGGGCTCAAGTAGAAAGAAAATGTTTTGGAAATGATGATGACAATATATGTACAAATGTGCTTGATACAATTGATGTATGGATTGTTGTGGCATTTCTCCCAAACTATATGCCAAACCTAAAATTCTCCCAAATATATGCCAAAGCTAGCTGCTTGCTACACATGGCAAACGCCTATACACTTGGAGGTCAACGAAAGAAAGTCAGAGGTTATTCTCCCTGGGGTTATCGGCTATCTAAAGCAATCAGACGGTATCTTCTGTCCCACCCTAAGTAGGGCCCACTCCCTTCTGATAAGATAGATTATTTCTCTGAAGGAGAGCCCAGGGAGGTCAAGCCCACTCAAGGGTGACCAAGGTTAGGCTGCCATATTGAGTATAAGGTCTGGCCCATCTTGTCACGTGTGTACCTGTAGTCCCTCCCCTTCCTTTTGCATGTAAACCCCTAGTGCATCCCTTTCCTGTAACACTTATGCCTATTGTATAGCCCCTTCCTGTGAAGTGTTTGGTTACCTGTAATCACACCCTTAAGTATACACAGGCCTTGGCCAGAAATAGAGAGAGAGAGAGACTCTTCCTGCCCTCTCCTCTGCCCTCGCTGTACGTGGACCTGGCTAGTGAGATTATGGCCCTCTGGGAGGTGAGCTTACTACCATGAAATGTGTCTGACTCCTTTACTTTACCTTCTCTTCTATCGCTCTTATTCTCTATGACTTTACTACAATTTATATATATATATATATATTTACCCATACAATTATGCTTACCAGACCCGTGATAGTCTGAGGGGCTGGTTTCCCTCACAGATTGTTATAAGAGTTGTAAGAGGCCCCAATAAAGTGATTTATTAAAATTTTAAAAAATACAATAGTGTTTTCCAGATTGCAGGATGTAAAATATAGTGGCTCGTGAACATAAAAATCCAGTTGCCAAAGAATCGATGTTGAGTCACAGAGACCCCATGTGTGGCAGCGGTTGTGAATGAGGATACATTTAGGTATAGATTGCCAGGTCTTTCTGAGGTGCCACTGAGTGAACCCGCACTCCAACCTTCGGGTTAGAAGCTAGAGGTCTGCCTATTGGCACCCCCAGTTCCATGAAAATCATTTAAGTTATATTCACGTATGTTTCCTATGTGTGTATAAATCATTGTAGTACACATGTTTAGTACACATTTCTTAAAAGGTTGTCAAAACCAGGACAGACGATCCCTTCAGGACCAGTGGTTGGAGTGGCGATACTGGAAGGGTGGAGGGAGGGTGGGATAAAAGGGAAACCAATTACAAGGCTCTACATATAACCTCCTCTCTGGGGGATGGACTACAGAAAAGTGGGTGAAGGGAAATGTTGGACAATGTAAGATATGACAAAATAATAATAATTTATAAATTATCAAGGGTTCATGAGGGAGTGGGGAGCAGGGAGGAAGGGGAAAAATGAGGAGCTGATACCAAGGGCTCAAACAGAAAGGAAATGTTTTGAGAATGATGATGTCAACAAATGTACAAATGTGCTTGACACAATGGATGGATGTATGAATTGTGATAAGACTTGTATGAGCCCCTAGTAAAATGATTTAAAAATTCAGAAACCTTGATTTCTTTTCGGGACGAGTGCTGCCCACCCCTGTGACACACAGATCGGATATTTATTATTAATATATGGTAACTTCTTACCTTTTTAGAGCACTTGGCGGTGGTTTTCAGACAACACTTTTTGTGGCAAGCATACTTGCATACTGTAAAGTAAATTAAGGATGAAATCTTTTTAGATATGCCCATATCTATGACAAGCACTTTGCCATTTACAACCTTATTTTACATATTAAATATTTTCTTTAAATCTCAGATTACTATAATACTTCAAAAAGTTCATGGAAATGTCTATTATGAAAAAACTATATCTAAATCTCAAAATTTCTTTTTTGCAACAAAATAAACTCGTGTTAATATCCTATACAAAGCAATGCACGTAGCATCAAGTGAGAAAAAAAATTTAGTCACTACTCAAAAAAAACTAGTCAATGTTCAACCATTATAAGAGGGAGCATGTAAGCATGAATCAATGGTACTGAAGGAAGAAGTCCAAGATACACTGAAGGCATTAGCCAAAAATAAGGCTCCAGGAAAATGGGAGGAATACAAATTAAAACATTTCAACATGCTAATAAAATACTGGAAGGACTCACTTGTCTATGCCAAGAAATTTGGATGACAGCTACTTGGCCAATTGACTGGAAGAGATCTGTATGTGTACCCATTTCAAAAAAAGGTAACCCAACAGAATATGCAAATTATAGAACAATATCATCGATGTCACATGTAAGTAACAATGGCTGCAGCAGTACACTGACAGGGAGCTACAAAGTTCAGGCCAGATTCGGAGGAGGACTTGGAGCAAGGGATATCACTACTGACATCAGATGGACCTTGACTGAAAGCAGAGAATACCAGAAAGATGTTTACTTGTGCTTTACTGCTTATGAAAAGATGCCCTACAGTGTGGGACACAACAAACTACGAGAAGAATAGGAATTCCAAAACACATCATGCGCTGTGCTCATGCAGAACCCGTACCAAGAGAACAAGGGAATGCTGTATGGTTTTACATCAGGAAAGGTATGCGTCAGGGTTGTGTCCTCTCATTATATTAACTCGATATGTATGTTAGGCAAATCATCAGAGAAGCTGAATTATATGAAGAATTCGGCATCAGGGCTGGAACAAGGCTTATTGTGCAGATGACACAATTTTGTTTGCTGAAAGTGAGGAGGACTTGAAGCACTTGCTAATGAAGAGCAAAGACTGCAGCCTTCAGTATGGATTACAACTCAATGTAAAGAAAACTCAAATTTTCACAAGAGGTATACATCACAAATGGAGAAACAATGGAAGCTGTTGAGGATTTTCTTTTGCTTGGATTCACAATCCATGCTCATGGAAGCAGCAGTCAGAAGATCAAACGATGCTGGGTAAAGCTGCTGCACAAGACCTATTTAAAGTATTGAAAAGGAGGTCACTTTGAAGACCAAGATGTGCCTGAACCAAGCCACTGTATTTTCACTCGGCTCATATAGATGAGAAAGTTGGACATCAAATAAGGAAGACCAAATATTGTGAAGTATTAATTATGGTGCAAGCAAAGAATATTGCAAGTATGGACTGCCAAAAGAACAAACAAATCTATCTTGGAAGAAGTACAGCTAGAATGCTCCTTAGAGGTAAGGATGGTGAGGCTTCGTCTCACATACTTTGAACATGTTATAAGGAGAGACCAGTCCTTGGAAGAGGGTATCATGTTAGTAAAGTGGATGGGACGGCAGAAACAAAAGAGGAAGGCCTTCGAAAAGAAGGATGGACACAGTGGTTGTAAAACGGCTCAAACATAACAAGTGTGAGGATGGCACAGGGCTGTGGGCAGTGTTCTGTACTGTTGTACATAGGGTCCCTAACAACAACAACAACAACAACTTGTTAGAACACATCTGAGTGAACAGGATCTAGTGTGAGGTACTAAGAAAGAAGAATAATACATCAGACTGAAAAGGACCCCTATCATTGCAGTATAAACTGTGCTAAAATTGAAGCAAAAATAAGTATCAAATTTATGGTGAATGATGAAACCCCTGATGCTTTCTGAAAAGTTAATGCCTGAAAGAAATCAGCAGTTTCCAAATGAGTAACTCTTTAGAAGAAGGGACGATATGATGTTGAATAGCAATCCTGCAAAATACACTATCCATATGAATTTGCGAGGAAACAATCTTGTTCAAGCCCTAATTGAAGAGAACTGACACAGACACACACATCTTAAGTGGTTCAGCTTACCTAATTAGGTCTAAAAAAATTTAACTTGAATGGGTTATAGGGAGTAACTGGGGAGCAATCTTTAGAAGCAATTTAACTATGGAAGTGGATGACATATGAATATTATATCTAGAAATTACTAGGAAAACAGAAACAAAAACAACCAAACTTGACCTGTGGTTACCATGGATGAAGGAGGAAGAGTTTTTGCTTAGAAGGCATTGAGTTTTAATGGTGGTGGAGCAATCTGGAGAGGGATAACAATAATGATTATCCAACACGAAGAAGATAATCAATGGCACTGAACTATACATGTAGAAGTTGTTGACTTGGTGAATGTTTTGCTGTGTATATTTTTATCAAAATTGAAAAAAATACATGAATAACAATGAGTATATGTGCGTAAAGGGAGATAGTGGACGGTATAATATATGAAAATAAAAATAATTTATAAATTATCAAGAGTTCACGAGGGTGGGAGGGGTGGGAGGGGTAAAAAAGAGGAGCTGATACCAAGGGCTCAAGTTGAAAGAAAATGTTTTGGAAATGATGATCGTGACATATGTACAAACGTGCTTGATACAATTAGTGTATGGATTGTTATAAGAGCTGTAAGAGCCCCCAATAAAATAATTTATTGAACTAAAAAAAGTGAGTATGGGGAAAAAGAAAATGTTCTAAAATTGATTGTGGTAGTGTATATAACTCTTCTTGATATGGTTGAACTACTCAAGTATATGGTATATGGATGAGGGCCAATAAAACTGTTTTTAAAAAAATGAACTTTAACCTTTTTGCTCAAAGGGTACCAAAATCATTGCATGCAGATCAGGTGCAGACAAGAGTAGAGCATTCGATGGAAATTTAAACAAGTAGATCCACATCGTAAAGCATTTCTTGGAAGAACTGTAAGGAAATTTTAAACAAGCAGATCCACATCCTAAAGCATTTCTTGGAAGCAGTGTACAGAAAATGTCACTGGCTTTACCAGTACAACCCTGAAGGCAAAGCACAAAGCAATAGCTGTCTCCAGCTGCAAGTAGTCCAGTCAAAGCAAAAGCAGACTTGTCAAGAGCAAAGGTTGTGGTAACAGTTTTTTTGCTGCACAAGGCATTTTGCTTATTGATTATTGAGGAGCAAAGAATGATAATATCTGCTTTATTATGAGAGTGCTTTGAGAAAGTCAGTCAAAGTTTTACCAGACAAACATTCTGGAATGCTTCACCGGAGTCCTTGTTCACCATGACAATGTTACTGTTCATTCCTCTCATCAAACAAGAGAAGTTTTGCAGGAGTGAATCTTAGGCATCCGGCTTACATTCCTGATTTGACTCCTTCTGGTTTCCTAACCTTAAAATGTATTTAAAAGGCACCTTTTTTCTTCAGTTAATAATGTTAAAAAATAAATAAAAACCTGCATCACCATGGCTAAATTCTCAGGACACTCAGTTCTTTAGGGATGGGCTAAATGACTGGTGACGTGACTTTAACTTTAACTTGATGGAGCTTATGTTGAAAAATAAAGTTTATATATTTTATTTTTAAGTTCTATTTTCCCACAAACTTTTTTAAGTCCTCTCATAAGCCCTGTTGTTATTTGCTGCAGCTGAGTCAATGCAAACTCATGGCAAACCTCTGTCTCTGAAAAACCAAACTCACTGCCACTGAGTCAATTCTGGCTCATACAGAAACTGCAGAACAGGAAAAACTACCGTTTAGGTTTCTGTAACTCTTTATGGGTGTAGAAAGCCTCATCTTTTCCCCTATGAATGGCTGGTGATTTTGAACTGCTAACCTTGCAGTTAGCAACCCAACTCTTAACCCATTTCACCACATAATAATGAAAGAATTTTAACTGTCTTTTGGACAAAATGAAGATAAAACATGCCTAAACTTTCTAAGCATTGTCTAGGAAATTCTTTCATAATTCCCAATTCCCCACTCACACTAATAATCCAGTAGGAAAGGTCTTTCTCTGATTTGATTCCCAAGCTAGTGTCTGCTCCCTCATATATATGACCTATAACAGGTTAAGAGTTAAAAAGTATTCCTATCAGTAAGTAAGGAATTACAAAATACATTTTTAAAAACACTTCATTTTCACCGTAAATTCACCGTAAATTTCTAGGCTAATAATGAATGGAAAGATGATAGGAAAATCAGTGTTGGGCCATGGAAAAGCGAACACATCCAGGAGAGTGGAGATTTTACTCTGGTGAGCATGACTTTTATCCTAATTGTCATTATGGGCCTAGTCCTTTCTAATATTTCTTTCATTAAAAGAGCCTAAGTGGCACCAACAGTAAGCACTAGACTGCTACCTACAAGGTTGCTGGTTCATATCTATTCAGAAGATCAGCAAGAGAAAAACAAGGTCATTTGCTTCTATAAAGATTACAGCCATGAAAACTCGGTCGTTCTACTCTGTCACATGGGAAGGCAAATAATTGAAAGTAACGTGATGTTATCTAACAAAAACAACAGTAAGACCCTACAATATTACATACTACACCAGGGTAGATGGATGGAGTAAGAGTGGAATATTCTCTGAAAGCCAGAACCAAGAACTACAAAGTGTCTCTACAAACATGCTAAGATTTAGACATCCTGACGAACGGTTTTTTTAAAGTAACTTTTCAGAAATAGCCTAAGAGTTTATTCTTTAATTTAAGAGTTTAATTTAATTTAAGAGTTTGTTCTGTAATCTTTATAGAAACAGATCACCATGTTTTTCTCCTGCTGATCTTCTGGGTAGATTGAACCACCAACTCTGTGGTTAGCAGTCTATTTATCCATCCACTTAGAGGTCTAACTAACATTTATTTATTAAAACTTATCCAGAAATATACCAAGCATTGGTGATAAAGAAGAAACAGATGATGTTTCCTGACCTTCTAAAATTCACATTCTGCAGGAAAGACTCACAGAAAGCAAACAGTGCAGGGACACTTGCGTGCAGACATGAGGCTGACTGAAACACACTGTAACTAACTGGGCCACGCTGAAGTCTGAAAGAAGATTACTTCAATGGAAAGAGTACAAAGTCTCTGAGGGACTAGAGATACTAATAAAAAGTCTGACTAGGCTAGAAAAAATAAATAAAGGAGAATACAGTGAGAAATGAGCTTAAACAATTAGATAGTATGAATTTGTTCTCTCATACTTACATTTGCAAACAGAGGCTCGGTCCATTATCCATATCAGTGAAGAACAGTATTCACAGTACGTAGGGATGCTATACTGAGTGGCTTTAAAAATGTGACCATTGTGTTCTTCCACCTAAATAGGAAAAAAAATTAGCTGTTTACAGTAAAGCAAACACAATAAATACTGTCGATCATAGTCAGTCAGTGGGAACACCTTCAATTCCTCATTTAAGTCTTCTCTGTGTACTTACTCCACAGGGAGCAATGTGATAGCCTAAGAAATTGCTAGACTGTGTCAATTCTTGTTCTCCAAAAAATAACGATCTAGTCAGGAAAAACGGACCAACTTACATGAAAACTAGAAAGAAATGCAATTACTACAAGCAGTTTCAAAAAGTCCATAGAAAAGCTCCTGTCTTAGTTTCACTTCCCCAGTTTTCTCAGCCTTGTGTGACTATAAGTCAGTATGTTAAATTAAGAGCAGTATTCTTTTTTCTAAAACTCAGTTTTCACCACCTTGAGGATGCCAAAGGCCTGCTATCGCTGTGAGTTATAAAACCAGAAACACACTCCCTGCCACCATGCTGATTCTGAAGCACAGCTACCCTAGAAGACAAGGGGAGCTACCGCTGGGGGTTTCCAAGACTGTCTCTCTCCTGGAGGAGAAAGCCTCATCTTCTTCCCAAGGAGCAATGGTGGTTCCCAACTATTGACCTTGGGTTTGCAGCCCAACTGTATTCAAAATTGAGTGAACAATTTATTTATTCTCCCCGCCCCCACCCTTTCTGCCCTCTTGAGTGAACAATTTAAATAGTGATTTTATTAATTCATTTGAAATTAACAATAAATGTTGTATGTTAACATAAATAAGATTTTTGTGAACAACTAGCATATATTGAAAACAAAAGAAAAAGTCATGATAGTTATTTGTGGAGTTAACTCTGACTCTGGTGACCCACACTGCACCAAAGAACGCACCACAGACGTTTCAAAGCTGTGATCTTTTGTAAGTAGATGATCACACCTGTCTTCTGAGATGCCTCTGAGGCAGTTTAAATTGTTCATCTTTTGGCCAATAATGGAATGCTCAACTGCTTAACTGTCTGGACCACCTACTGAATCCTCATAAAGTTGCTCTATATTTTCATAAATCTCTGTAATGTCCAACTTAAAAGTCATCTGGATTCTCACAGTCACTTGTGCATTCATCCTGCTGCAGTATGCAGTTTAGATTGAGAAGGAAATCCAACTTCATACAGATATGAAGTTGAGAAATGGAGGAATTTTAATAGTTCTTCCAGATAATGATATTACACCAAAACTCTACAAACGGTAACCTACGGGTTAATTCCAATGTGAAATCTAAAACCATTCCAATAAATTCCTCACATGCAATGATATTAAATCCATTATTCTGGAAAGTATTATAATTTAAAACCTTTACCCTCAAAGATACCATTGAGAAAAAGATAAGCAACACCAACCAAAGAAAATATTTGCCAAACACATAATCTGATAAAAATCTTATATTCAAGATTTATTATAAATTATTATTTGTAAGAAAACAACCCAGAGAGTGCAAGAAAGAACATGTTCTAAAATCAATTCTAGTGATGATTGCACAACTCTTCTTAATATGTTTAAACGATTAACTTAATAGTTAATAACTCAAATTATTGAACTGTATGATGTGTGAATTATGTTAACAAAACTATTTCAGGAAATAAAAGCAAATAAAGGTATTGGCCTATGTACATATATTTATGAGGCAATACACTGAGGCTGTGGATGGGCCTTGGGCCTCTGCTCATAACCCCCCTCAATACAACAACACTTTGTTCTAACAAAATGGCACTTTGTGATACTCACCCCCTCACCCCCACCCCCACCACAATCGCTGAAGACAAAATGGGTGTATAAGCAGATGTGGTGAAAACAGTGGAGGGTGCCCTGCTATTAAAAGATATAGCGTCTGGGGTCTTAAAGGCTTGAAGTTGAACAAGCAGTCATCCAACAGTGAAGCAACAAGCCCACATAGAAAAAAGCACACCAGCAGGTGAGATCATGAGGTGTCATCGCCACCGGGTAACAGGCCTCAGAAGATTCATAACAAACAACGAACAAACAAACAAAAATGCATTGGTGAGAAGGGGGACCCAAAGCCCATCTATAGACAATGGAACATCTCCACACCTAGGAGTCCGAGGGAAGGGATGAGTCAATCAGAGTGCAGTTGAGCACCGATGGATCGCACAATATACCTCTGGCTCTTTGAGGCCTCCTCACGCCCCACTCTCATGACCAGCCAGTGCTGCTTCCCACTCTGGACTGGACCGGAGAATGTACGTAAGCACAGGCCAGAAATAAAGCTCACGACACGTGGAACCCAGGACCAGGAATGGGAATAGCGATACCAAAAGGACAGAGGGGAGTCGGGGAGAGGTGGGGAGGGAGGGGGAACAGATCGCAATGACTGGCACACAACTACACGCCCCCCTCCAGAGGTAAGAACAACAGAAAACAGAGGGCTAGGGAGACAGCAGTCGGTATGCGATATGAAAATAATAACAATCTATAATCTATCAAGGGGTCACGAAGGAGGGGGTGGGTGAGGAGGGGAAAAAAGAGGGGCTGATCCCAAGGGCTCAATAGAAAATAAATGTTTAGAAAAGAATGATGGCTATATATGTACTAATATATCTGATACAATTGATGTATGGATTGTAATAAGAGTTGTAAGAGCCAATAAAATGATCTTTAAAAAAAAAACATTTCCAATCAATGCAATGTGCTATATACTTCAAACTGTCAGTGTGAATATTGCTTTTTTATGACATGCAGAAGTGATGATAACTTACCAAATCAGCTTCTTTTTTCCTTCTTTTTTTTCTTTCTGTTTTTGGCACCTGGGCAGGGAATAAGGATAAATTATGATACAATTAATACTAATTTTCTTACTTCTTAGCAAACACTGAGATTTTTGCTCAATAGGTAAGAGAATAAACAGCTCCTTATTTTTCAGGACCAACTCTGCACTTCCAATAATCAACTGTGAGAAAAAATTTTAATTTGAGATAACATGATACTGATAAAACTTAATTAATGGAAGGATACTTTGGAGATCACTCTTTTTAAACCTCCGTTCTGTGCAGAAGTCATATCACGCTAAAATAAGCATTTTATTTTAATCACTCATTTAAATGCTCACTTATATTATTTTTCAGGCATTCCACATTTAGTCCCTAGAAAAATGCTGTCCCAAAGCAACATAAAAAATTTTTTTAAAAGAGCATTATTTGGAAAATGGAAATGCTCTTTTATATATATTCCCTGACAATCATACTATGAAGAAACTTCAAACAGTTTGTGGAAATTGGAATTAAAAGGCAATTTATTTAATCCACTTTTTAAAGCCCCTTCATATACACATTCAAAGGCATTATAAGCCCACTAAAAATCTTCTATGTAAAAATACTTTAATCTACATCTAAAACAGGACTTTTTTCCTTTAAGTTTTCATTATGAATTAGATGGACAAAATATATCATCAGTTTTACATTCAACAATTTATTCAAATGTGTTTCACCTCATCCGTTGAAATTCTCTCAACTGTACATCCCACTTCCTTCTTATATATCCTGTGTCCCTTCCTCATTTTTTTCCTAAGCCTCTGTATTTTGTACTTGGGTAAATGCTGCCTTTTTTAGAAAAATTTAAATGGTTGGTTATTCTAAAACAGCAGTGAGTCCAATCTCGGGGTTGAAGAATGATAAAGGGCCATACAAGGGTCCTCCCGGACTCTATTTGACCAATAAACCTGGTCTTTTTTATGATTTAGGGTTTTGTTCCATGTCTCCTACTACTATCCAAGGCCTTCTACTGTGATCCATTTCAGAGCAATTGGTATCAGTAGCCAGGCACCCTAGTTCTTCTGGTATCAGGGTTGGGAACAGTAGTATATGTGTGATCCATTAATCTACTACAGGGGTTCCTAACCTTCCTAATGCAGCGACCCTTTAATTCAGCTCCTCATGTGGTAGTGACCCCCAACCATAAAATTATTTTTGTTGCTACTTCATAACTTTAATTTTGCTACTGTTATGAATCTGGCGACCCATGTGAAAGGATCGGCATGACCCACAGGTTGAGAACTGCTGGTCTACTGAATTAACTATATTATAGAACTTTAGTGGGTCTATTTATCTCTAGACAACTGGACATACCTTGCTGAGGGGTAGTGGGGAGATGAGCCACTTAGGGTACATTACAGCAATAATGAAACTCACAACCTTCCTCTAGTTCTTAAACGCTTCCTCCCCCCAACTACCAGGACCCCAATTCTGCCTTGCAGACTTAGTTAGACCAGATGATGCACAGCAGTACAGATGGGAATTGGAAACGCAGGGAATCTAGGACAGATGAACCTCTCAGGACCAGGGGTGACAGTGGCGATACCAGGGAGGGAAGGGGGTTGTAGAAAGGGGGAATTGATCACAGGGAGCTCCATATAACCTCCTCTCTGGGGGACGGGCAGCAGAGGGGTGGGTGAAGGGAGACGCTGGGCAGTGTAATATAAGATACAATAATAATTTTTAAATTATCAAGGGTACATGGAGGAGAGGGGAGGAGGAAAGGAGGGGGAGGGAAAAAAGGAAAATGAGCTGATTCTGGGAACCCAAGAGGAAAGCAAATTTTGGGAATGAGGGCAACAAATGTATAGATGTGCTTTACATAATTGATCTATGTATTGTGATGAATTGTATGAGCCCCAATAAATTGATTAAAAAAATAATCATAAAAAGATGGTTTGCAAATAGAAATACATAAAAACTATACAAAAAAGGATTTCAATATATAAAAAGGTAACACACTGATTAACTGTCTCTGCCAATAATTTGTCTCTTCAATAATATGGATTTCATAAAACTTATTTAATAGAGCTGAAGCAAGAATTAAATAGACTAGGCATTTGCTAAAATAAAGGTTATTATAATTATAATAATTTGAAGGGACACATTTTCCCAAAACCTAATTTAAAGAAATATATAAGTTATGGGTCTTTAAATCACTGAATGATACATTGAATTTCATCTTAATTTTATTTTTCTATCATTCTATTGGGGACTCTTACAGCTCCATCCATTGTGTCAAGCACATTTGTACATATGTTGCCATCATCATTTTCAAAGCATTTTCTTTCTATTTGAGTCCTTGGTATCACCTCCTCAGTTTTTTCACTCCCTCATGAACCCTTGATAATTTATAAATTATTATTATTTCATGTCTTACACTGGCCAATGTGTCCCTTTACCCACTTTTCCCCTGGGGAGGGGATTATATATTGATCACTGTGATCAGTTCCCCCTTTCTCCCCCTACCTTCCCCTCCCCCTCCTGATATTGCTACTCTCATTATTGGTCCTGAGGGGTTTATCTGTCCTGGATTCCATTGTGTTGTGAGCTCTTATCTGTACCTGTATACATGCTCTAGTCTACTCAGATTTGTAAGGTAGTATTGGGGTCATGCTAGTGGAGGGGAGAAAGCATTAAAGAACCAAAGGAAAGTTGTATGTTTCTTGTTTTTTTTTTCTCCATCGGTGCTACACTGCACCGATTGGCTCGTCTCTTCCTTGTGATGCTTTTGTAAGGGGATGTCCAATCGTTTACAGATTGGCTTTGGGTCTCCACTCTGCATTCCTCCTCATTCACATTGATATGACTTTTTAGTTCTGGGTCTTTGATGCCCGATACCTGATCCCATCGACACCTCATGATCACATAGGCTGGTGTGCTTCTTCCATATGGACTTTGTTGCTTCTCAACTAGATGGCCACTTATTTATCTTTAAGCTTTAAGACCCCAGATGTTATATCTTTTGATAGCTGGGCACCATCGGCTTTCTGCACTTTGCTTATGCATCCATATTGTCTTCAGTGATCGTGTCAGGAAGGTGAGCATCACGGAATGCCAGGTTATTAGAACAAAGTGTTCTTGTGTTAGGAATCTCATCTTTAAGCACTGTTTTTCAAAATGAAATTCATAACCTTTCTAAATGCTTGTTATCTTAAGAGCACAATACTGTGTATTTAACTCAGTGGAGAATGTATTCATTATTGACAGTTTAGGTAACAGGTCTGAGGAATTTATCAAACTGAAAGGAGTTTGGAGGATTTAAAACAGTGATAGGTTGCATGTTTACTCTAATGTTTTTCTGAAATAACAATCACAACAGACTCTTAAAAATAACTCATAAAATAACTCATAAGTAAATCCTTTTAGAAATCAAAGCACATCATATTTACCTTTGTGGCTACGCAATCTGATGTCTTGAATTCGTTCATATATTCATCTAAAAACACTTTAAAAGTGTTGACCCAAACTCTGACTGGAGATTCACTCCAATCGCGCTGCTCAAATCTCATTGTCTTTTCCAGAATCTGTTCAAATAGTGCATAGAGGTCCTTATACCGTATGCTTTTCCCATCATCCATCTAGTGAGAAACCAGAGAAGATATGTAATGTTGTAGCATAAAATTCTTTATATAGGCAAGAGTGATTCAACTTGTATTGGGTGTTATTAGAATAAAGATATAAGACCCTGTACACTTTCTTTTTTTTTAATACTTTTATTGGGGGTTCTTAGATCTCTTATCACAATCCTTACATTCATTAAGTGTGTCAAGCACATTTGCACATATGCTGCCATTACCATTTTCAAAGCATTCTCTTCCCACTTGAGTCTCTGATATCAGCTCCCCATTTCTTTCTCCTCCACCCCCACCCACTTTCCCTCCCTCACACACCCTTGTTAAGTTATAGATTATTATTTCCATATCTTACATTGTCCTCCATCGCCCCCCACCACATTTCCTTTATTAGTCCCAAGACCCTGTATACTTTCTAATGAGCTTTTAATGATTTCTAATACTGAGTACATGTGGTATTTATAAATGTCTACTTAGCTATGGAGTGTATGGTCTTTGGTAATAGTTTAAATAATATAATAATTTGAGTAAGTCCTAGGAATTTCTTCTATACAAATCAGTCAATCACAACTAATAGGTACATTCGTTTTTACCTATTTGGGGCTATAAATATCACTCATATCCTTTTTCATTACCTATCCCCAGAAATGAGTTTTATTTCAGATTGTTCCAGTCTAAAATTAGGAGGCTAATTACTTGGATTCTTGCCTAATGATATATTAGATAATCATCTTTACTTTCACTCCTTTCTACAAAAGAAGAGTGACATGTCCAGAGTAACAGTATATAACTTGAGAGGAATTTAAATAGAATCCATTTTAGTTTATTTAAAAGTTGACATTTTTATATGAGAGAAGACTCCAAAGAATCAGAAACTGCTATATGCATTTACTATTTACTTCCTTTTGAACAATTTGAAGTGAGACCATGGGGTTTTTTGACTCAGGGTTAGAAAGCCAGTATTAAAGCTTTGCTTAATCATGCTGGCTCTTCCCCAGTGACTGAAAATGAATCCGAGCATCTAACAATCCCAACTTTCTAATCTAGGAACTACAAATGTGAAGAGAGAAAGCAATGTGACAAGCAACTGGGCAGATTAGAAAAGTGTGGCCACTTAGTCCTTCCCTCCCCCAAATCTAGAAATTTTCAGAATAAACATATTACTTCCTTATTATAATTTTTATTCCTAGTTTCGTAGACTGTGTAGTTCCTCATTTCTCCAGGTAAAAAAATATTACAACAAGAAAAAAAAGTAGAGGATATGAAAGAAAGTTCTCCTGATTGCTCTTTTCAAAATGAGTTAAAAACTAGATTTATTTTATGGAAGGGAAATGATAATTTATACATATGAATAAGAATTCTATAGATGTAAGCATTACTAGATGCTTCAGTACGAAATACACACACACACACACACACATACAAAAATCCGTGAACATAAAATACTCTAATTCTACTGAAAGATAATATAAAATAACTAGAATCTATAGCTTGGTAACAGAGCTAAAAGGATTATGAGAAGTAAAATAGTGGTGAGGCAATGGGAGAAACCCAATAGTACCCAAAATACCTTGACTATAAAATAATACTTATAAATCTAAGGGGAGAAAAAAACCCAAAAATTTATTCAAGGAAATTCAAGGAAGTTATTAATCTGAAGACAGTATATTTCCCCCCACCTATATAGGGTCACTATGAACCAGATTAGACTTTTTTTTTTTTTTGGCACTTAACATCCCTAAAACAAAATTAGGGAGTTGGAGAAATCTTGGTAGAACATGGACTCCTTATTGCTTTATAATAGAGATCGGGTCAGCACACTTTTGAGACAGAAGAGCCAATCCTATCCCTCACAACTATTTAAAAAATTATTGGAGAGCCATAAATATATTTTTACAAACAAATGAAATCATCATTAGCTGAATAATATCCTTTGAACATTTAGTAAATGAAACTATGACAGTTTTATTTTCATTTTCAATTTTGCTTCAGAGCCACACGTGGGCTCTCCAGCTAGCTTGCCAACCCCTACCTTATACAGTGCTGACAAATTTTCCTTATATCAACTATCTCCTGATCTGGTTAAGCTTACCGCCAATGCAGATGAATAAAAGCTGAAGATATTCTGTCGAAACTCTCTTAGGGCCTTTTTAAACACAACATCCACCATTGTATCTTTCTTGCTGTCTTCATTATCCAGATCATTCATCTGGGAACCACAGAAAGAGTTTCTGTTCACAATCAACTAATTGAAAAGAAGTGAGTACAACAGTGGATTGTTTCTTTAACAGTAACTGTCCTGAAAAGGAAAGTTACTGGCTATTTGGGGACCTAGACAGAAATATTAATAGATAGCCCAACTTTTATTACTACTAGTTAGTTTCTTAGATCCCTTCTGAAACTAACATTGAGCAAATACAAGTATCAACAGCATATTAAGACTACAATATGACAGTTATAGTAAAATGAAGGCAATAAATAAAGCCCCAAACCTTAAATTCCATTTATCCTGTTTGACTTATGCATATCTTATTTTTTGTACTTTTCTAGTAAAGGACAGACTATGTACTAACTACTGAAGTATACGTAAACTTGATCTCTTAGAATAGCCTACTATGTATAAGTGCTCCATAGGTAAAGCTACTGAAGGACCAAACTCAGCAAGTGTACCTTCTTCAGAAGAAATTCATCCATGCTTTTCAAATCATTGGTACTTGCTATGATCTGGACAGAGTCATTTTGCCAATGCATGGACTCCAAAGCCACATTGCTGATCTTCACACCTCGCTTCCTCTTTGCCTTTGGAGAAGGCTCTTTGTTCTCCTTAAACTCCTTCCGGGAACACCCAGGTAGATCGGTGCTCAAAGAAGGTGTCGGTTGATAATGAACTAATTCTGGAATTCAAAAAAATGCATTATGCTGAGTGAAATTACTCAATCACAGAAGAACAAATATCCTATCAGACCATTATTATCAAAGTCAAGGAAAGGTTTATACAATAAAAGTGTGGGAGGGGAAGTCTCAGGCTAGAAGGGAGACAGCATTAATTTGGGTGAAGGGGAAGGCAATACACAGTACGAGGGAGCGTAAGGCAAAATAATGGAGGCAGAGGTAGATACAGTACTGGGAAGTTTGCAACGGTTAAAGGCAACAGAGGCAAATACTATTATATGCACAATCCTGCAATCGTGGTAATCTGAGTAGATGATTGAGTAGGGTGAACAGGTGTGTGATGGAGAGTGGGAGTATACCTAAAAATATATATAGGTTTGACAGAAGATATTCAAGTGTTTTCACCTTTGTTGAAAGTATACCCATGAATGTGCTGCAGCATCTAGGGGGTAGGAGGTAGGGGGAACAGGAGTTATAAAAACTTCTTAAGACATAACCACCAAACACCTTGAGGGAACTCGCGCTTGCTGGGCTGTGGGCTCAGGACCATAGTCTTGGGGGCACCAAGGTCAAGTGGCGTAATAACAGTTCATAAACACTATGTTCTACATTTTTCTTGGGTGAGTACCAACTGGGGCCTGTGGTGTTAACAAACCCAGGGATAAGGGAACAACAAGTGACCCAAATCGGTGGTGAGGAGGGTGTAGGTGGCCTGGTAGGGCATGATCAAGGGTAATATAACCGAGAGGAATTACTGAAACTCAAATGAAGGTTAAGCATGATAGTGGGACAAGAGGAAAGTAAAAAGAAATAGAGGAAAGAGCTAGGAGGCAAACAGCATTTATAGAGGTCTAATAAAGGCATGTACATATGTAAATATATTTACATGTGAGGATGGGGAAATAGATCTAGGTGCATATATTTATAGGTTTAGTATTAAGGTAGCAGATGGACATTGGGCCCCCATTCAAGTACTCCCTCAATGCAATAATACTTTGTTCTATTAAACTGGCATTCCGTGATGCTCACCACCTTCCTGACATGATCGCTGAAGACAATGTGTATGCATAAGCAAATGTGGTGAACAAATCTGATGGAGCCCGGCTATCAAAAGAAACAGCACCTAGGGTCTTAAAGACTTGAAGGTAAACAAGCGGCCATCTAGCTCAGAAGCAACGAAGCTCACATGGAAGAACCACACCAGCCTGTGTGATCACGAGATGCCG